CTGGGGCAGCTCCCTCCTGCCCTGCTACTCCTAACATGCACAGGGTGAGAAGGTTGACCCAGCTTAAAAATATGGATCTCTGGAACATGACCTTCATCCTGAGTATTGCTCCAGCACCCACCTCCTGCTCCCTGAGTCAGATAGCCTGAGTACCGAGGCGCAGGCAGAGGCTCGGAGGGGAACGATTTTGTCTGCAGATTGATGAAGCTGCTGCAGCTGTCCCCTTTGTGGACCAAACCGTCCTCTCACAGGCTGTTCTCTGTGCTGCCCAGGGAGGGAAACAGCTGTACTATCATCACTGGAAAACTCAGATGTGCTTTATGGCTTATGACAATAGGTTTCCTCCCCACCACGCTTCACTTCGACACTTCAATTCCACTAATACAGGTCTCAGCCTTACTGTTTACACGGCCCTGCTCACCCCTCTGGGCTGTCATTAGCCGCACCACTATCAACCGTTTCTTAATTGACCTTTTTAAAATGCTGGACACTGCTGGCTGCACGCAGCTGCCACACATTTAAATTTCCTCAGCAGAGTCCAGCTTGGTAGCTTGTGAATTGCTGCACTGCAATATACTTGATAAATGACGTCCATCCAGCCTTGGGCCCTGAGCTGTCAGGGGAACCAGTGGCAACACTCAAGTGAATGGCACAACCTCCGTGGAAGGTCCATTCCCTCTCTTCCTGCCACCTCTATGAATTAAGGAAGGGGGCTGGCTTCGAGGGATCTGCTGAGATAGGTTGCTAAGAACCCCTGCTGCCTTGGGTCAGGAGATAAAAAACAGTGCTAAATCTAGGGCGGTTCCTAGCACCTCCCTGGGGCTTTGGGAAGAGCAACACGTTGGTACTATGCCTCTACCAGTCCTCTTTCCTACAAATTTGAACCCACCACCAAGAAGGAAAGCTGAGGCCCCCTGAAAGGATGAATGTGGAATGATGAGAAGGGTACCTCTTGTAGTCAAGAATAGCATTGGTACCTGGACCTCATAGTGCAGTGGTTCTCAACCTTCCTATTTTGGAACCCTTCAAGACAGTTCCTCATACCATAGTAACCCTCCCCCAACCATAAAATTATTTCTGTTGCTACTTCATAACTGTAATTTTGCTACAGTTAGGAATTGTGATGTAAATGTCTGTATTTTCTGATGGTCTTAGGTAACCCCTGTGAAAAGGTCATTTGATACTCCCCAGAGATCATGACACACAGGTTGAGAATGGCTTTCCTAGTGAGAGACCCAGAGCCTCCTTTAGCAACAGCACCCATTTCGAATTCTCTCTCTCTCTTTCTCTCTCTCTCTCTCTCTCTCTCTCTCTCTCTCTCTCTCTCTCTCTCTCTCTCTCTCTCTCTGGCCTTTCGGGACAGGCTTTCTCTATAGCTTTGGAGCCTGTCCTGGAACTAGCTCTTATAGACCAGGCTGGTCTCAAACTCACAGAGATCTACCTGCTTCTGCCCCCACCCCCCACCCCGAGTGCTAGGATTACAACAGGACTCCTAGGTGGCAGCTCCCTGGCCATCTTGAGTACAAGGATTGTCCACCAGTCAGTCAAACTATCTTTATTCTGTTACCAGCTGTCTTTAACAGTCCCCAGACACCTTGAGACACTACACAAAAATCACAGCTGATTGCTTCACCTCAGAAGCAACAGCCTTAGGCAGGCTGTGAAGGTGCATGTCTTTAATCCCAGCACTGGGGAGGCAGAGGCAAATGGATCTCTTTGAGTTCAAGGCCAGCCTGGTCTACAATGAGAATTCCAAGACAGCTAGGGCTGTTTCACAGAGGAACCCTGTCTTGAAAAAACAAGCAAACAAAAAAAGGAACAGCCTCATCCAGGGCTGTATCTAACTTTTTACTACCACAGCTTTCACCTAGATGATCCTGCAACCATTTCCAGCCAGGCCAGTGGAGGGCATTTCCCCTGGTTACATAACAGAGGGAGTGCTGTGATTGGTCCAAACAGGAATCTTTATAACTGTGACTGATGCTATAGAGTCAAAGCTATGACTGGCTAAAAACAAAATGTAAAAAACAAAAACCGGCTATGATGGGGTCAAAGATCCCATCTCAGCCTATGTAAGGCTGCTAGAACTCATTTAAGTTAGTCCTGTGCTGCCTCCCCTGGCCCAGCAATGGGAAGTCTAATAAAAGGCTTCTCTCAATGATCTTTTCTTGTCCATTTTAATGGTGCAGGGTGAGCTGGTAACAAAGAAAAAGACAGCAGAGTAGCAGTGGAAGCAACAGCCGAGGAGTCGACATGTTGAGCTGTGAAAACAGCAAGGCCTGCCTGATTGACAGCTGAAATGGCAGCAACCGTACAGGTTGTGAACAGGGAAGGAATACAGTGAGAGATGGGAAGAGAGGTCAGAGAGCAGAGAGAACGATGGATACAAGGTGGGAATGGATCAGAGAAGAAACCGCAGGCTCTAGTCACCCTGAGTTCCAGAAGGCTGTCATGTCTTTAGGGCCAAGAATCTCAGACCCCAGGCTAAGATACCTAGGCCTGCCTGGAAGCTTCACTGCCAGCTAGTCAAGGGATGATGAATCCCAATTTTCTGGGCCACTATAGGAACAGTAAGATTGGAGGACCAAGAATCAGATTCCCACAGTTACTGGAGTACTGTTACGCTAGAAGGTGTCACCTGTTGCTGCTTTCACATGCCAGCTGCCATCACGCTCTGCTCCCAAATATGGAGGCAAAGCTGTCAAAGACCTGTGATTTCTATCTGAACACAGCAAAGGATCCCAGCCAACCGACTCGTCGTGTTCTCTTCCTAACCATTTCTCTGTGACATCTTGAGGATGTCACAGAAAAACAAACGTGCATGACAGGGAAGCCAGGAAGACAACAAACAAGCCCAGCATGTTCTTGCCTGCATATGCCTGCATGTGCTTCCGAGTGTCCTCACCTGGGGAAGGAACAGAGGACATGGGACATACACACAAATTCTACAGCATATGCCCAGATGAACTGTAAGACCCAACAGTCAAAATAAAAAGGAATGATTTGGAATTTATTTTGTCCTGAATTGTCCCAGTCCACTTGGGCCAATTGCCAGGATGCTACCACGGATTGGCAAGTGGTGATGGCTATATTTTCAGTAAAAGTCATTTGGAGCATGGAGGAGCCAAAGCAAGAGATAGGAAACACTTGTTCTACACTTGAGATCAGTTTCCCAGGTGCTGTGTGCCTACACTACTTTCTTATCCTAGATTGGAATCCCATCAGCTTTTAATGATACCCCCCACATAGCTTCCCCAGCTCCCCACACTTAGAAAGGCAGTGACCAAAAGAACCCAAAGAGGAAAAGACAGGCAAGAATTTAAATCAGCAAATGCTTCCTTTCCACTTCAATCCAGCATTCTAGAAGCCACTTAAAACCAATCACACAGTTTATAGTCCCTAATACTCGATGAGAAAAATAGTGATTCTGAAGCTTGGTGTAGGGCGGGACTTGGACCCACACTTCAGGGGAGGGTTTGGGATTGCTTTCGGAAGTAAAGGTTGGAACCATGATGGAAGTGGCTTGACATTGCTCTTGGCAAGGTACAGAGGACCTCTCAACAGAAGCCTGGTCCTTCGGTGATGGAATCATGAGAAATTAGCACTGGACGGTGATACCTGGGCAATGGCTACCACTCAAAACTGAGGCAGTACAGTGGGAACATGTGGGCTCCCAGGCAGCTTTTTTATTGGCTAAGCAACAGCCTAGGCGTCTAGAAGTTGGCTTGGGGGCATTCTGTCTTTCTGTTGGCTCTTATGGTTGATTTGGGTGACTGAAGCCATTTCCCAATGAAGCAAGAGTAGATAAGAACCAGGTATAAAAATCAAATGGCCTGGCCAGGCGTTGGTAGTGCACACCTTTAATCCCAGCACTCGGGAGGCAGAGGCAGGCAAATCTCAGTGAGTTCGAGGCCCGCCTGGTCTCCAGAGCGAGTGCCAGGATAGTCTCCAAAGCTACACAGAGAAACCCTGTCTCGAAAAAACAACAACAAAAAAAAAAACAAACAAAAAAAATCAAATGACCTGAATTCAGATCCTGATTCTGCAATGCCACGGCTGACAATTACGGAAAAGGGATCTTGTACTCTTTAGTTTCTGTCACCTTGACATGACTAGAGTCACCTGGTAAAAGAGAACCTCAAATAAGGCATTGCCTCCTTCAGATTGAC